TTTTGCTTTTTTCTCCTCGCTTACTCAGAGCCTTCACAGAGGCATTGAAGTACGGTAGAAATGGTTAGAAACCGCAGCGCCCGTGGAGGCGGTCCCCAAGCCCCCTCCGCGCTCCAGGTTAATAATTAGCTCCTAGCCGCCTAATTTAGCCGGTAATTAGCGGCACTTGCCTGAGGGCCCGTCACCCCCGAGCGCAGCAGCGTGAGGCCGCCGGTCCTGCCGCTGCCCCCCGGGCCTCAGCACGGCCGTGGCGGTCACATCTGCAAGCTGACATACATCACAGGCAGGGGTCACCTCCACACGGGCACAGCCCGGGCTAAATCCGCCGCCTCGGCGAGAGACAATTTTTGGGAGCGTTCCCCCTTTTTGCCATGATGTATATTAGGCCTGTAGACTTGCAAACTGGAAAGAGGCGTCATGCATTATTGGTCGGAGCGGTTGTTCGGAGGGTGAATAGGATAGAGGCAAGGGAACATCGCAGATATCCCACCCTCTGCCCCTACCCAGCGCAAAGAAAAACCCCAAAATTCTTAGATCCAATTGATGGGCACCAGATACTGACCTTCAGGTCTCTGTGAACTATGCCATTTAGATGACAATGATTAACACTTTCTAGAATCTGCTGTATACAATGACTGCAAAGATACAAGGGCAGAATGGAAGGGAGAACATTTTAAAGGCACGTAATCACATTAAATACAAAATAAAATAAAAATTAAAAGAAAAAGGTAAAGAACAAAAACAATTTTACACCTCTTGACAAGTCTTGATTGCGGTTTGAACTGGAACAATAACATTGCTGAAGGTAGAGATATTTCCAGCTCCAACACATCCAAAAAACGAAAAAACCAAAACGAAACCAAAAACGACATTTAACGTGGAACGTATGACACCTATGAGACAGAATCACCAGACTGTATTCTCTTTCAGCAGTATGGAAGCTTTTTTCAGCTTCCAAAAACTGCCACAGGAAAAACAAAGTGGAGGAAGAAAAACAATTAGTGGCATGTTTTGGTTTTCTTAATTTTTTGTGATGAAGTTAACATTGCAACAAAGGCTGAAACAAGGAAATGGTCAGAAATGATAGACAGAAAACAAATGAAACAAAAAAAGTCAAAAGCTAAGGAAAAGCAAAACATTTTTCATTTTGAATTGAATGGTTTCTTTAAAACAATTACAAGAATAAAGCCAAGTCATTCAAAAAGGTGGCATGCATTTTCATTTAAAATAGTGTCCAGCTCTGGTTTCCTTAGGAGTCACTTGGGGAGAGAAAATCCACATTAAAAATTTAGACTAATGTTTTAGTTTGGTGCTTTCAGTAACTGAACTAGCACCTCTTTTTCCACACCCAGCTTTGCAAGTTTTGGCCAGTCTATGATGCCATAAAGCACAACTAAATCACTAATATTTTAGAGCACTGGAACTTTTTTCAGATGTTTTTTTGGCACTGCAAGAGCTTAGAATTTTTTTTTCAAGACATCATTGTGGCACAAAGTGAGTGATGATAAGTAATACACAGTAGTCAAGATGATGCTCATCCAAAACCTTTTGACCACAGAATTCAGAAGGAATGGTCATAATCAGTAACTGGAGCCCAAGCCTGAAAACCCTTTCTTAGGCAAGTAGTTCACAACTCACTGCACTGTTTGAGTACAGACTACTGGCGTGAGCAAGGGCTTGCAGGAGCAGACCAGTGAGACAGTCCTGGGAGAGGCATCCACAGAGAACAGCAACTACTGCTAGAGGGATACACACATACACACACTAGGAATATTTTACATATATGTGTATATATATATATATATATATATAAAATATTCAAAATACAGAGATACGTCGTAACTAGATATTTCACTTATTTGTCAAGTTCTTACTGAAAATATAAAATGTGTATATATATATATGTTCTCTATATATATATACAAATATATGCACAGCCCCTTCCAATATATCATAATTCTAGAACAGAAGAAATAATCATTGCAATTTTTCCTTTTAATTCCCCAATACCTTAAAAACACACAATGACACCATATACTGGCCTTTGGCATCAATATTAGAAATTTGCTTCAATCACAGCAGGAAAAAATGATTTGAAAATTTTTTTAGGTCCCTCCTCTTCTTCCACCTCACCTAAACCCTACTGCTGTTTTCTCTCCTACAGGGTGTTCTGCTGTGTGTTGTTCCTAAGTGCCTAAAGTATTGATCTTTCTACCATTCCTACAGATGCAGTAAGATCTGCAAGTGGAAGCTTCCTAATACTCAGAGCAACTTCTCATCTGTTCATTATTATCCTACTACTGCTGTTAGAATACTTAATTCTTTCTGGTCATATCCCAGTGAGCTCCAAATAGAAAGGCATGATTTAAAATTGCATGTACTAAATGTGTATTATTGGAGGGGGTGTTGTGTTTGTAAACAAACAGAAACATAAGGATTCTTTAAATTTACATGGAGATCAATTTCTGTGAAGAGTGTGGTGGCAGAACGTATTTTCTTTAAAGTAATTGACCATAGTGTTTAGGATTCTTAATTTTATGACAATATTTATAATTTATTATTATATGAGGACAAACATGAGATAAGCGGCCCTGATACTTTACGCATGCAAATCATGATAATTGTCAACTTATTATTCAAGTTTTTCAACAAGCACTTGCAGAAAATTGCCATATTTGAGCTCAGACTATGAGACGCACAGTATAAGTGCTTTCTGATGAAACACAACAAAAAAATTCTAATTGGAAAAGGAAATTAGCACTTCTGGACCGAGAACAAAAAATCATATTTAATGCAAAATTATTTTAAAACAACTTATGCTTCCAACTTTGATCAGCAAATGTAAGAATCCATGGATGGGGTTCTTGAGCTGTAATGTCCAGTTTGCAGAGGAAACAATGGGTAAAATTTTAACTAATGGAGATCCAATTTCAGCTTTTGCAGATCAGCAGACACCACAAGACTTCCCATGAGTTCTCCACCACACAGTCATGAGCTCAAACTGCCCAATTCTGCCACTCCAAGTCTAAGAAAAACCCCTAGAGAAATCCTAGAGTCTCACAGATTGTGCTGGGAAACTGATGCCAAACACCAGGGTATATCTAAGTAACTATTCTAGAATTATCGAAGGCAACATTGGAAAAACAAATTACTTACCTGGCATCTGCTTCACTGTAATACTCTCTTGCAACTATATCTTCAAACAATTCACCTCCGGTGACTCTGTTACAAAAAGCAAGATGGGGAAAAGGAGATTTCAGAAGTGAAAATGTGCACCTTAAATTAACTTGACAGGGAGAAGCAGAGAGGAGTAAGTGAAATATTTGGACAGAAATGCAAAAAGTTTTGCAGCAAGGTGCAGGAACTCAAGTGGAAGGTTTGTCCATCCAAATCATTACATGAATAAAATGGATGTGGTGGAAGTGTAATCATAAATAGAAAATAAAAGCCAAGGGCAGCAGCATATTGGGCAAAACGCCAGACATCAGTTATGGATGTTTAAAGGAAGGAGTAAAAACTACAAGCATAAAGGGAGCTGACCAGCCAGGACAATTGTGGCTGAAGTTCAGGGTAATTTGAACACTGCAATACCAGACAAAAAGGTGAGAAATGCTAGAATACAACAATGCTAAAGAAGGAGAAGGGTCTTTCAGTGTAGGTGAAATCACAACAGAGTGTACCCAGGTGCCAGAGGGGCTGGCTTTTTGTGCTGTGGCTAGAAAGAGCATTACTGAGTGGGAAGGGAAGTATCAGTAGAAGCAGGGTACCTTAATCAATTTAACAGCAGATTTCCCCTAGAAAATTTTCATTTATATTTGTGGAGAAAGTAGGAATAATTTAGTTAAAGCACCACTGAAAATAAGCTAAGTACAAGGGCAGAACTGTATGATCCTGGGGCCAGTAGCAGAAGCAGCTGTGTATCGCAGCACACTCAGGAGCTCATTGTGCAATCAGTGGTTTACTGGTAGAAAGTGCTTAAAAAGAAATAAAACTGTGGTTTTATATCCCAAAGATCACGGTCCAGAATGAGCCCTGAGCAGGATGATACAACAATCGTGGACTGCATCTGAAATAGGGTGACAGCAATGTCCTCAAGCACAGCAGTAAAATCCCTCCTCATGTTGTACCAGTTCTGGTCACTCAAACTCAGAAAAGGGAACTGGAAGCCCAGCATGAACAGAAAAATTGCTACCAGGCTACCCAGTCACTCAATCATCAGATCTCCTCAGAGAAGCAAACCCAGTTTAGCTGGGCAAAACAAAGGTTAAGAGAGATTAAAGTAAATACTCCAGATGAGCATAAGCCTGGATCTCCCCAAAGGGGAGTTGTAAGGGATAATATTGGTACAGTAACACATGAACATAAAATATCTATGAGTAAATATAAGGTTAAAATCAGGATAAGATTTCTAGCAATCCCTGTAAGATGATTAATGAGTTTTTAAATAATTTAATAAAACTTGTCTGCCTGTGTCACAAGAGGGGACTCATAGCACAGGAAGACAACTTCCTGTAACATTTCTCTCCTATAGTATAGGCTATACACTAGCATATACTAGACTGGCACAGCTAAATGCAATTCCTCACATATACAGGTGCTTACATACTTAATTCCTAATTGAGAGATCAATGTTTCTATTTCATTACTGGTTACAAATGAGAATATTAGCACATTATATTTCAGATAAATTCCCAAATGTACAAGCTTGAGTGCACAAAAAGATACTTAAAGGTTGAGATGCTTCAAAATCTATACTACAGTGAACACAATTACTATTGAACACAATTCAGTTTATTAGGATTAAAAAATTAAAGCTGAGAACACTTGCAATGTTCAGAACTGTAACATTCACTTGCAAACTGCTGTACTAACACTTGGTTGAGGAACTCAGTTTTCAGTCACATTAAGTGATGACAAAAATGCCCTGCTCAACCATCAACCTTGCTCCTTTCTTGGAGAAGGCCAGTTCAAGAACTTGATTTTCATTATTTCATTTATATTTGGGTTACACCATACTTTTCCTGAGTTTACACCTTACTGACTCCCAATACAGAGACTTTCAGGAATGCTATTTTGTACTAAAGTCTGCAGTAAAATCTTGAGGAGGTAAAGTAGATTGCTAATCAATTTGTATTCTCTTTCTTTTCGTCTTCTACCTTCCAGAGACTGGCTTTGGTTGCTGTAGCACAAAATGTTTGACTGATGCATATTTTGACAGTCTTGCATAACTCCTTTTTGCATATGTATTTGTCTGCCACGGTTCTGATAAAGAGGAATAATTCTTACTTTGTGATGAATGAAAAAACAAAGCATCCTTTGATCTTACTCTTTCCTGAAACACTTATTTTTAATCCAAACCAAAGAAAGAAACCAAGAATCTTTAGTCATCAAAGTGCCTTTCAGTGGAAGAGAATACCAAATTGATGTTTGTTCTTCTCCAGCACGGAGGGAGGAAGGGGATATGAAATCTTCCTTGCTGACACTAAACATTTGCTTGGTATTCACAACCACTGTTAAACAATGAAAAGATTAAAGCAGGAACAGAGCAGGTGAATTTCAGTGACAACCAAACAAGCAGTCAGCAATTCTCATGCTCTGTCACTCTGAAGAATACCTTAGGAACAGCTCTCCCTAACGATCTGAATGGCCACAATGAAGGCAGGCAGTGCATGAGGAGAGGACAGAACCCACCTGCACGTTCTGAGCCCCTGGGCAAACCACGACAGCCGTGCTCGTGGCCTTGGCTCACTCACTGTCCCTGAGCAAGGTGCCCCTGCAGCAATACAGGTCACTGGAATCACAGTGTGGGACAGCCTGCAGCTTCTGGAAAGCCACTCACAAACGACTTTGGTCCTTCAGCATAAAGCTACATGAGCAGGTGCCAAGGTACAATCCCCACAGGATACAAATGGGAATGGATCTCAAAGCCTTTCTGACACAGATCTGGATCTGGATCCAGGGAAGTTGCATTTCATGACAGGCCATTCACTTTATAAGCTCCAGTAACTTAAAGGATACAACCTAAAAGCTACTGGTTTGGACAAATTGCTATGGTTCTTTGGTGATTTTTCAGAGGAGCAGACTGAAGTGGTGACAAATAAAGCACATGGGTTTGTTTACACAAAAGAGGTACAAGCAGCACGTAGAAACACCAAGGCCCTCTGCGCCACTTTGAGAAAAAAATGCCAGTTTATATTTGCACATAGAAGAGAATAATTAAAAGAAACACACAAATTAGCACAGACAGCTAAATAAGCCTCTGCTGATGATCATACTGGCATGGTTTCCTCCTAGCTCACATTTATTTCTTCAGTTGCCTTCATAATGGAGCTGGGAGGAAGCATCTTACCCTGGCCACAGAATTATTAAATTCATTCTGTGACCCTTCTACTTCTGAAATAGAGGCCCAGACTTTTACCTTTACACAGTTTTGCAAATTAGGCTACTTTTTTTTGTATTTTCTATTTATTCTACACATTATGGTCCCTGCACTTAGAATCCAAAAGCAAGGCCAGGATTCTTAATGTACCAATTGTTGCATCTCATCAAGTGCATTAAAACGGGAGACACTGAAAATAGCGAATCTCATTGACTTGCACAAGAGAGTCTTCAAGTGCTACAGCTGTTTCCATTCAGATATGGCAATTAATACTGACAGAATTGATTGGATTTGAACTCATCTAACATCATTAACACTGAAGACAGTCTCATTCGTGCTTAGCAACTGAAATGGTCCCACAAACGCAAATCCTGACTGCAGCTGCCTTAACCAATAGGGAAGAGGAGCAAAAACCTCATGAAGTCCATTATTAAATTCATCAAGTTCATTGTTCAGTACCCATTTTCCACAGGGATTTCCAGACTCCCACCTTCCCATGTGACACCCAAATGCAGGTCTGTAACACAGTACATTAAATACTGTTTCCTTTTCCAGATAAAAGCACAGCCTGAGATATACAAGTGAAGCAACAGGCTGCAGGCATCTCTATGACATTAAATCCAAAGAGATTATTAGACATTCAAAATAAAAAGTAACAACGATTGTTTTTTCTATCCACAGAAAGGGCAGTCCTCCCCTTCACTTTCTTACGTGGGCTGAAGTCTGAAAGAAATTTCTGAGGAAACAGTCACACCGAATCCCACACAGTCTGCAAGAAATCATTAAGAAAATGACATGATGGCATGTGTGGGTGGAGTGACAGTGTTACACCACAGTCAGGCTCCTGCTGAATAAAAACTACATTAAGAAAAAGCAGGTTCTTGGCCTGTGTGTTCAAAAAGTGCACACGGTACCTTTTTATCATGCAAGCTTTCATCTACTTGTCAACAGGGCAGTAATCACATGGTTGTAAAAGGTGAAGTTTCACTAATTAATAATATTAGTGAGCATTAAAGCAATGATTTCTTAATTTGAATGTGAAAGAATTAACTGTGAGCAGGCATTCTCAGTAATTTGGCAAAAGCTCCTCAAGAATGTGACCTGTTGCTTCTCCAAAGACAACAATCAGTCGTCACTGTCTCTGCCATTTAGATATATTTTCTTTTTTGCAAAATAAATAATTTCTACAAAAACCTCTAACCACATGGTCAAAACATAAAAGCTTTTTAAGTTATGTTTGAGGCTGTTTCTCTGTTTGTCCTGAATGGGACTGACAAGGAATGGGGGAAGTTCCAGCCAAGGGAGAACATTTCCTGTGGAATTTAGTTTTCTGCCAAGGCAGTATCTCTGGGTTAGGCATTAACATTTTACTGCAGAACATATGCTTCTATTTGCTCCCTTACTATTGAGATCTAGATACTGTTATCTACAACTTCGAAGTTGTTCAAATGTTCTAGTTCACATCCCAATCATAACCCCCTCAGATAAGTCTGGCATCATATATTAAATTTAAGGCAGATGTGGACTGTTATAGTATATATAATATATATAGCTATATACTATAACATGTTGTAGTATGCCACAGTTTCTCACAGTACAGCAGTACAACAAAGAAAAATGAAGAGCCACTGGTTTTTAAAAGGGATATTGTCCCTAGAACTAAGAATTATGCATGCACTTAGAAATGTTGTGAATGAAGAAGCTTTTTCCAATTCCACAAAGAAAGATATCCTTTGTAACCCTTAAGGAAAAAAAACCAAGCAAAACAAACCCCAGTGCATGTCAGAGAACAAATATGTGTGCTGTGCCCTGGAGCCATTTCCAAGCCAACAGTCAGAGCACTTACCTGGGATAGACACAAATCACATCCAAGCTTCTGTTCAGCCCAGTTAGGATTTGAGTCCTCAATCCCCAGTGCCTTCACTTCAGACACACTACTTAATATTTGTGTATTTCTAGCCTGAAATCTAGTGCTGAAGAAGTCTTTACAGATTGCTTTAAAAGAAGTTAAACCAGAAAGTAAACCAGCAGTAACCTGAACATGAAAGCACATAATTGCTTGTGTAAAGGAAGATTCAGGTTCTAACTTAGCCATGCTGAATGCAAATACTTCTGTTTATATGCTTAGAAATGAGCAATTTCCCATCTCTGGGGAAATAATGTATTCTCATTCTAAACAGCAAAACCACAGGGGGCCTAGGAAAGCTCTTCAGGTAGTTGGGCAGGTGTGTTGTCTGTTAAATCATAAACTGCCCTGGAAAAATTTACAGTTTAAAGAGATAATTTTGCTTAAGTCAGTTTTGCAATACAATTCCTTTCATTCAGGTTTGTCCATTTCCAAAACCATAAGCAATCATTTTTCAAGCGGGTGGAAAAGCTTGCCCATCCCAAGGAAGAATGAGGAAATCAGTTTCTCTTTTCAAGTTAAGAGCCTGAGATACACAGTTCATGCTGTCACTATCCCAGCTCCCACTAAATAGCTTTATCTGGAAAAAACAAGCTCCTTACAGGCCCAGTTGCTACATGAACAACTCATGGGACTTAAATTCCTAAAGCAAAACAGGATCCCAGTAGGAAACTTCCTTTCTAGGTGCTGGGCACTTTACATTCTGTGTGGTGCCAAAATCAAACATTATAAAGCAGTAAAGTATCAGTCAGGAATGAAATACTAAAAGAATCTTGCCCTCTCTAAACTCAGGCTTACCTTTTTAGTCCAGCAGTGGAGATTTTCTGGAGAGAAATTCATGTTCCACATGCTTTTTTTAACCTCTCCTTTAGACAACTGGCTTGCAGCAAATATTTTTTTCGAAGTCAATCTTTGCTTCATTTTGGCAAGAATCACACAACCTTTATTTATATACCTACATTTTACATTACTTTCCCAGTGGATTTTTACCAGTTTTTAAACTGGAATCCTTAGAGTGATGCTTACAAAAGAATTCTTGCACATGCAAATGACCAACTATGTTTCTGTCCTTCCAGTTGTTTCCAATATGTGTCCAGCTCATCGCACCAGAACCATGTATCTATCTTGTGAGATTGCACTCGCATCTCCAACTTTGAACAACACATCCCCAACATGCTAAACAAATGCAAAACAAATACTTACAAGTCAAAGACTAAGTAATGGAATCCTTCTTCTGATATGCTGTCATGGAGCCGCACTATGGAAAGGGGGAAGAAAAGATAAACACCAGTCACCTTTTCCATGTCTTTGATGGGGGGGTGATAATTCTACTGCAGAGCTGATATTGCATCTGTGCTCTCAGCTGTGGGGTTTGTTTTCAACTCCCTACCCTCAGAATCACCTTTTCCATAGCTCTTAACTTGGCTGATGTCACATAACCTTTTTCTTAGCACTATTACATCTTAGAAGTTGTAAATAAAACAAGATGAGGAAAAACCCCCACAGTAAGTCACAAATTTCAGCAGAGTAACAACCTTTCAGGGCCTGCTAACAATTCTTCACACATACCATGAAGAGTTGCAAACAGGGAAATCTCCAGGCCAGCCTAGAACATCCTAATTAAGCCCCCATGCCATGTTTACATACTCCTTTCTGTGTCCATATCTAAAGCTTTCACTATGAATGTGCTAGTGAGCTGCAGAATCTTCCCCTCAAATTTTAAGAATTCACACCACATCGTGCTACAACTATGAATTAAGCCCTGTGGTTTTCCTTAATTATTTTAAATGAAATTGCAATTTTCAGAAGTAATACAGGAAGCTTTGTCAGTAGTTTGATCCAAATAATTATCACTTATAGAATCAAATGAAAGTCAGGGTACCCTAAAAGTGATCTGTGTTCAAAGCTGAGCTGAGGAAGCAAGTGTAGAAGAAAAGCATTTTCAGATCTCCCCAGATGGTAACTTTCTGTATTAATCATTTTTTTATACATGACAAACAAACATGACTTTTTAACTTAATAATATTTAGCCCAGAGAAACATCTTGTGTTTACACAATACTGAAGAGAAAACCAGCTCTTGGCTGACTCAGTGTGCAGAGCTCATGATGATTCACAAGAGCCAAGTAGGTCTAAATCAGAGTTTGTGGTTTTGGCTGGTTCTGTATTTCAGATTACTCCATGTTTTTATGAAGGGCCAGCCAACACCACTCTCCGCCCGCCCAAAAAAACCCCAAATCAGCTTTCTGTCTGCTTGCATTGACCTCAGCTTTCAACACCCCAAAATGTCTTTAAAGCAAACCAAATGTGGGATGAGACACCACGTACCAGCTTAGAAGAGCATCCTCACATTCCCAGCTGAGGACAGAGATCCCTAAAACATCTGGCTGTTGGGCACATTGCTTTGTACAGCAGCATCAAAGATACTGCTCATGAAATGGGATTTAGTACAGACCCTTGGGGATGTCACAGATGCTACACAGCCCTAAATCTGTACAATTTGGAGTGCAGCTGGTCTGCTTTGTGTATACATCTCCAAAAAAGTTTACAGCTCTTAAAGCCTCAATACACAGCAAATGATACCTTTTGCTGGGGAAGTCCTGTTCATGAAATAGATTAGTAAGAAGTCAAAGCATGGCTTTTTCAATTCAGAGCAATATTCTCTGTCATATCCCTGTTACCAAGCAGGTCAGGATGGCACCATGGGAAGAGGCTTCTCTAGCTTTGGTGTCTGCCTCAAGCAGGAGGTGCCCTCGCTTTGTCGCTTCCTTCTCTAGAACAGGACTTGGTTTCCAGCGCCTGCAGGAGCATGGATCTGTCCCTCTGGACTAGAAAGAGACTGTTATTTGAGATGATGGAAGATGTGCTGCTCAGCCTGGGGAGCTTAATTCCTTGCTAGCCAAACTGGAGTCTGACATGTCTTCCAAGACATCATCTTCAAGGATCACACTGTTTCTTTTCCTTTCCTCCCAAATGCCTGAATCACAGAAGTGAGATGGAACAAATCCTTCTCTGAATCAGGATCATATGCCTCTGATTGTTTCTGAAAAGGAAAACAGGCTGAGGCAGCCAGGGAAGATGGGAGCTGCCTTTTGGCAAGTGCTTATGTTGGCATCTTTGGTCAAACCAGGCACACATCTACAGAGAGAAAATGCCAAATAAGCGAGGGCAGAGGAGAGCGATCCCTGGTGCAGACAAGGCTGAGCGCAGAGCCAAGGGTGCCCATTGGCACCGGGGCTAATCCAGCACGGCCCAGACATTCTGCCTGCACTCAGCCTGTCCTGGGAAAGACAAGGGATGCTGGGATGACAATCTGAGAAGATACGCACAAAGTTTAAGAGGGAATGCACCACAAGAAGTATTTGTGCAGGCACTGCAGACAGATACAGCTCTTCACACACACCTATCAAGCAAGACTCAGGCACGACAAACCAAAAGGCAGCAATTACAGAGATTATTCATCCAATATAATAACTCGCATCAGAAGCTCACACTGTCATTCCTGTTTCTCCAGAGTCACAAAGCATTCATCAGTAGTAACAGTTCCATTTATCTTTTCTGAAAGGATTTCAGTTAAGCCAAATCATTAACTGCAGATATTCCATCAATGCTGTTACCAATAAACACATGAGAGGGCAGAAAGGAAACCGGGGTAACTCCTTTTACTCCTTTTCCTCCTGCCTGCTGTAGCCCTGTGGTCACTTCTCCTTCACTGGCTTCCAGAGAAGGTGCTTAAGAACCTCAGACAAAGTTGTTGCTCCTGAGCAAAACCCTTGGAATGACTGACAGGAACCTGGGGAGCTTACAGCCCTTCCTTCTGGAAAAATACTGTAAGCCCACAAAACATCAGGAATACCCCAGCTTTGGCTTCAGCACTGATTTTCACCTGAAATACTTGCCAATCATCACACTGGAAATACTCTAATAAGAATTTTAGGGAGAACTCCTATAAGCTTGATTATCTTCCATTTAGCCATTAGTCACATTTAGTCACATCCAATCTGACTGGAAAGTAAAATGATCTCCTCTGTGTGACTTTTTGTGCTGAACTGCACTATTTTGTGCCTATCCCACAGAAAGCAGCTTGATATAATGGCCAAATAACTTTATGATTTCCTTTTTGAATTTCTGCCTTTAAGAAAAAAAACCAAATCCAAATAATAGTATTCCACATCCTTACAGTGAAAATTAAATTTTTCCAGGCAAGGAGTCAAGTCAAACAGTAGACAGAAAAATTCTCAATGACAAAGATGTTTAACCACACCTAAACCTACTGCCTAAAATATTTGTGTGAAACTGCTCATGTGATCGTTTTGCTAATTTTAGTATCTGAATTAGTTCCTGTTACAAAGACAAATGATTGGAGAAGACTAAACTTGACACCAAAATTATGTTGCACAGCAGCCACACAGATGTGCACTGAAGTACCAAATTGCCAGGGTGATGCTCCTTGGGGAAAACTCTCTGCAATCCCACTCATTTTGTTTATGAACAGAGCATAGAAAGGAATTAACAGAGTCCATGGTAAAGACACTCTGTTTTCCCTTTGGGACTAAAGATTAAGATCTGTGGAACCCCAGAGTAACTGCGGAGTATCCTGTAACTCTGTGAAGTTTGATGTCTCAAATCAGTGCACCACAAGGAAATTACAGGGCACATTCATCAGCAGCAGAGGTTAAAAATGGGTTTGAAAGCCACAAAAGCTCATGCCATATGTGCTGAAATATGCAAATTACTTCACGTTTCTGCTTTCCTGCAATGATGAAAAAGGGAAAAGGATACTTTCCCTCCATGTTCACTTCCAAAAGTTTATTAGGGTATTTATGCACACCTTACATAGACCACTTATTGAAACAACACACACCCCAAACCAAAACCAGCATACCCTTTCAAAAATGAACTTAATTACTTAGAGGAAGGAACTTCCTGGAACGGTTTAATTAATCTTGGGGTGTTCCATGAATTGGTACCTGCCTGCCAGTAGATATGGGATAAATTGTTGCATTTGAAAATGAAAAGACAAAATACAAATTGAAAAAAAAACACCTCAGTCACTGAAAAGCCATAACCAGCTATGTTTTTACACATATTTGAACCACTCAATTTTCTATTTCAAACACCTGTCTATAAGAATTTTCTGCTGTCCTGTCTCTGACAAAGAAAGACTTGTGCTCAGCAGAATTGCTTGGCTGAGAAGTGCAAGATCTGCTGTGGCTTAGCGCTGTCAGAACTCACATCTTCCAGCAAAGTCATCCTTTGCCACCTTTCCTGTTCTACTGCATAAAGCAAAGCAATGAGGGACGGAAAATAAGTTACTGCTTAAACTTTACCAGAAACTCCCATGGACATCAGTGCAGGACCCTTTATGGCAGTACCAAGAACGAGGACCGAAATCAGCATTCAGCCTACAGCTTTTAATCTGGATCCCAAGGGAAATGGGCTGGGATCCCAAAGTAAACACAATAAACCTGCATGAAGAAGCAGAACAGAGCATGCAAAGGTTTGTGACCCACTGCTCAGGAGTGCTGCTGTTGGCACTGATCTGGCTCCCTTCCAACAACATCCTCACTGCAGCCTCATTCTCAGCGCCTCAGCGCTCCACCGTGTCCCCACATCCTCTTTTGAACGCCTGGGATAAATGGAAGAAATAAGCTCTGCTGAGCCACCAAACCCTTTAAATCAGTGGTGCATAAGAGTCACAGCTATAGCTCCCAGGCAGGGAACTCAGCACGAAAACGGAGTCTGTGCTGTCCTTACTGCTCCTTACACTCATATTTCCTCTCACACAACACTGTTCTGCTGAGACCAGGGAAGCCTGGGGCCCTCTATAATAAAGCTCATCAGGTACAGTAAAGAGAACTTGGAAAATATTAATCAGAGCTGTTACCTAAGAGTCTGAAATATTTAGAGGCTAATCTGGTAAGATTAGTACAGTAGCAATGCTCCAGGGCAGCTGCTTTTAAACAACACTAAACACAGAATAATGCTTTGCATACCTAAGAAAATAATCCTCCCCCATGCTGTCAAACACACCAGCAGTAAAATACAATACTTAGAGTCACTAAAGGACTTCATGCAAGTCAGCAGTGCTGTGTACACTATTAACAGGTGCCCTGTATTCAGCAACAGCAAACCAAAACTATCTAACACCCCAATTCCTTCAAAAGGTACTCTTTTTATTACAGTGAAAATTTACAATTATTTAGGGCCAAAAACTTGAGGAAAAAAAAAACCCCTATTCATCTGCATCTCAAAAATT